AAACGTTTCATTAAAGAAGAACCCGTCCAGAGGACCTATACAATTTTTTTCCTTTGATTTTTTACCTGGATTACTGAGATGCATCAGGACAAAAGATCAGATCTGTTCTCTGTGGTCCATTTTAGTAGTAATAATAATACGGATGTACAGGCTTGAAATAACATATTTCACTTATGTGTTTGGATACTTTTACATACTGCTAGGTGGCATAAAAAACACAATTCTGTCATGAAATGATAGCCCTTCATCAGAGCTAAACAACAAAATAATCTGAAATCCCTGTGTTGAATAGTAGCCATTATGGTTGACCAAATATCTCTGGGAAAAATAAATAAATTAATAAATAAAAAATCAGTATGAAAACAATATGATCCCAGCTTCTCATAATTCCAGCTATATTTAATTCCACAATTGAAGAGCTTTATTTCTCACGTTTTGAAGTTTTTCTCACAGTTTTTGCTGATCAAAATGACAACAAATTCATTCGGACTTGTACAGATCTTATTTATTGACAAAATTAGAAAATAAACTAGCTGTCTGTCCTGCACAGATACTCATGACCCCCACATTAAAAATGTTACCAGGACCGCCTTCTTCCACCTGTGTAATATCATCAAAATTAGAAATATTTTGTCCAAAAATGATGCAGAAAAACTGATTCATGCATTTATCACGTCCAGTCTAGGGTTGGGCATAATCGTATCGTGTGCAATTAATAGTCAGAAAAACAATCGATTCTTTTTTGGCACTTGAAGATTAATAGGATTAATGCCAGCAGGCAGACTGACTGGAGATTTCCCCGTTCGGTCTGATCGGTGATCCTCTCCGCTTCAAATATGACGAACATAAAAAAATAAATTCTGAAATTGATTTATCTATCAACATAATTTAAAATTTGATGTATAGCCCGAAGTCTGTAATTTTGACAAATTGGAACAGAATGAAGAACAAATCTTTCCCATTAAATTGGTCATGTGACCAGAACATAAGGGTGTCCAGGGACTCCAGGGGATTAATCGCCAAATTAATCGTTATTGGCTAAATACCACAATTAATCGTGATTGATTTTTTTTGCCAATATCGCCCAACCCTAGTCTAGACTGGATTACTGTAATTCTTTATTATCTGGGTCCAAAAACTGTTTAAGAAGTCTTCAGTTAATCCAAAATGCTGCTGCTAGAGTTTTTAATGAGAGTTGGAAGGAGAGATCATATTTCTCCAGTTTTAGCTTCTCTCCACTGGCTCCCTGTCAAATTCAGAATAGAATTTAAAATATTACTCCTAACATGTTTTTCATCAGTGGACAAAAGACATTAGTGCTAAAGGCACGGATATAACAGACTCTGTTTTAACCAGTCGGAAAC